CACAGTGGAACCAACAGCTGCCATGCTTCAACTTCATGTAACCTCCTCTCAAAGTGCACCACCTGAAGGTAACGCTGGATGCTCATTGCAGTCACAGTCAGTAGGCTACCATAAACACTGCAGTAGCCAAGGTATGTTACCAACTTGCAGGCCTCAACCCCGAAGGTCCAACTATTGAGAACAGAGTATGTCCACAGTGGAATGGTAAGCATGCAGAGCAGGTCTGACACAGCCAGGTTCAGCATCAAACTCTGGCTCAGACTGGACATGTTCTCCCAGTTTGGCTTGAGAATCATCACAGCGATGTTTCCAAGGAATCCCAGCAGGAAGCAGATGGACAGCACTGTTGCAGGAATCAGACTTCTGGAGTCCAAAGAGGTTCCAGATGAATTTCCAGCAGAGGAGTTGTCGTTATAAGTAACCATGGTGGAGCCGAGTTGTGGTATGTTTCAGGCTTGCTGACTGTCATGCACTGAACAAGTCATGATGATATGGTGAGCAAGCTGTTCTCCTTTGATGAATCAAAGAGGAACTAATAACAGAGAAACAGTTATGCTAATGCAAACATTTGCCATTTAAATTAGGTGTGGATCATGACGAGCTTGTGGAATGAATTAACCGTTGTTGCATGTAGCAGTAAGGCTGGCTGTAAAATAAAGCAACAAGGGTTAAAAAACAAAACAGGTTAGATCTGCTCTGGCTCTGGTAATAACATGCTCATGACAGGACACACTTAAAAAGGCCAATTAACATGAATTTGAAGTTTACAGTTTAACTGCAAAAGCAGCAGATAACCCCATAATTAAAGTTGTTATATACCAGATTGGGATGTAGATGAGTACCTGCATACAGCCTGCCCTTGCATTTTTTCCCCCCACTTTGAGCTCAAATGATGGAACAAGTCGGGACGATAAGCAGGTTTCCAAGGAATCAATGAGACATCCACAGGAACAACCCCGGCACACTCTGCAGGAGTTCACCACAATATCTTATCTCAGAATCCTGCTTTATCAAAAACGATCCATTCTCAACTGCGGTGCACCTCTCTACAGGCTGCTTTGGAGTCCATAACTCCAAAGGATAAGCTAACATCAGCACACTACCTGTGGAGTGCCAAAATACCCACATAAATGATGGATTTTTGCATTCACATGCAGACCCCCTGAATGTCCGGGTTAACCAAACACATCATTGCTGTTGTCAGTTCCAAATGTGAAAGCTGGACAGAGCATAGCGGAAAAGACGAGGATGCTGAGATGGACCTGAGTGGAAGATTTGAAGAATTGCTTTAACATAAATGAAGTTCTCAGGGAGTTAACTTCTGTGCTGGAGCATTGTTTGTTTGGGCTAATAAGCTTATTTCACAGAAGAAGAAGAATAAAAGACAGAAATTGTTAGTGCCGGAAAACAAAAAGAGGTGCCAGTTTATTAGACACATGTGCACTCATACATCTCATATGTCCTTGAAAAATCAGGCTTTTCCTCTTTACAGATGTAGTATGGAGTCTGTCCGACACTATAGCACCTGTTGCAAATTACTGCATCAGTGAGATGGGAATTGATAGGTATTTAGCGATACCATTATCAATATCACTTATTGAGCTGATTACTTATCGATTCTCACTGGGTTCTCATTGGCTCCATTGATGTCACGACGGGGTGCGCCGGTGTGTTTTTTGAGACAGGCCCCAAAAGCAGATGTGGACGAGGAGTTGCAGGTTTAAACAAAAGCGATCCTTTATTTGGATGATGGCAGGAGTTAAACATGGAACCCTAAGCAAACTAAAAAAACACCAAGAAACAAACACTATGAAGCTCTATGACTAAGACTATAACAATGGCAATGACTACGGCAATGGTGGGGATAACAGACGACCTGACAATGACATTCAGAAAACAGAGGACTTAAATACACACATGAGGCGATCAGGGGAAGTGGAGACACACGAGGAAACAGCTGACTAGGATAAACATAATGATGCACAGGAAAGAGTAAAACTAACCACATGAACACAGAACAGAAGACCCTTTTGAAAATAAAACAGGAAACATGCAGACTTAGACATGACAACACAAGCTTAACACACATGACAGACAAGGAACCAAACACAGAAACCAACGAGACAGATGATAAAAAATCACTAACCTAAACCTCCACTAACCCCTAAAGAAGAACAACACACAAACTTATAACCAAACTAACATGAAAACTTCAAAAATTACAAAATAAAACACAAAATACTGGGTCAGAGACCCAGCCTGTGACAATGGATAATTTAAGTTCAGCTTTTTAACTCATGTAAATGAGACCTTCAATTCAGTGTGTTTCTTTTTTTTTTTCCTGTTTTTTTTTTGTTTATACAAAGCATAAAGGGTTTTTTTTTTGTTTTTTTTAAGTGTTATCTTCATTTTAGATGTCAAAAAGTATTTGCAGCTCCCAGGTTGCTAACCCCTGCCTTAGTCCAATTTGGGGGAATTCAGATATTTTCCATTACACATTTAGCATTTTTTGGCAAAGAGTGAAAAAACGATTAACCCTCTCAGGCTCAAATTAAACTTTTTGTTGCTAATGCACAACCAAGTCCTGCAGTGGTACTTCTGAGTAAAAAAAACTCATAAAATATGTATGTGGGGTAATCAGGTTGTTAGTTTTCAACTGTTGCAAATCGGCAACGCCTGCCTCGAGAGGGTTATAAGTAAAGGCATACAGGAG